GACGTTGTCACACCAGCGGAATGATATTAGCTGCAAAGGCGGCATGTAAGTCAACTTGTTAGTAGAAGCAAGGGATTGATTACCTATCAAACACTGTCTGTATTATACTGAGTTCTGAGTCTGACTTGGGTACATAACGTATCGGCAGCTTCCGAACATCAACATCTTCATGCCCAACAACGAGCTCAGAAGAAACTATACCCCTGCCGCAAGAAGTCTCGAAGAGCCAAAGCCACCATTCATCCCATGTTGAGAGACACAAGCACGGCCATTTAAACGCCACTCCATACAATTGATGATCGTTCGTGTAAGATATCAACGTAAGCAACACACAAAAACACAAAATTCTGGAGTCCCCAAGCTGTTATCTCGGATCATCTCAAACGATTTGCCACGAGCTGAACAACCACAAGTTCACGGCGCTTCGCGCACATACCCAAGAATAAACGATGAAGCCCAAATGCATTGCAGATCTAGCCGCGTCCTCTTCACAGCCACACACGTTTCAACGCAGGCGCGCTTCTTAAACTTGCTCAAGCTTCAGGTTCATCAAGAAAAAAGCTTCATTGTTAACGCATGAACAGCGAGGCTTAGATATCTCCAGGTTACATGTACGAACGTCCTAAACAGAGCGGTTCTCGAAAGCTTAACGTGGTGAAGGAAATAGCATCAACTAGGAAGGCAGGTAACGGAGCCTGTCCTAGGAGCCAGTAATCTTTGCTTGCTCGCCAACATCTCTTTGGACCCCCAAAAAGGAACAAGGCTAAAAATGTCGTTGTCGTCGAACAGGGTGCTGACGTGAGTCGATGATGAGTAACATCCCGCTTTGAAAAATCGACCCTCCTCCACTCACACACGGGTTTAACAGGGCTGAGGGCAGGTGTATGCATACGCAAACAGATACCGGCAAGGTGAGGGTATAGGCAAGGGGACCAACAAGCCTTGTCCCTTCTCCTTTAGCTTTACTGTTTTTTTTTATTTTTCTGTGGCTTGCCGGCCGTTCTTGCTCAACGGTTGACGGATTTTATCCCGGTGAGCCAATTACAACAGCCCCCAAAAGCTTGGGAGGTTCAAACCTCCGCCCCGGAGCTGGGTTCTTCCCACAAGGATCTCGGCAAAGCCACGCACACCACACACACATCTCGAGGCCCTCCTCCCCAAACTCGAACCCAGGTAAAGAGAAAATCACCTGGAATATACCCATTACAGAATCGCATGTAAGTATCGCACCAAGAAAGCTCACTTCCGTCCTACATTGAGAGATTGATCTGCAACCCACCCTCCCTCTCGGATGGATGTACCTTAGCATGGTGATATTTATAAACGTAAACCCCCCCATCTTCCAGCTGAACAAGGTTATCAAGAACTAGGCAGAGACTTAACCCATGCCCGTGGTCCTCTCCGCCCCCTCTCCCTCAGCCATGCAGACCGAGATTCTCTCTCTAGACCAAGGAAGAAAGGCCCAAAGAGGAAAGAAAAAAACAGGTCTCTGACCGAGAAACTCTAGAGACTGGGGGACTCTTGTACGATTCTACCGTCATTGAGTTGCGGGGTTGCCTATACTAGTCCCAAACTCTGAGAATCCCACATCTAGGTAATTTGAAAATGCGCAGTCTTGGATGGGAATCTCACGTGTCATTTCATATTCTGCTCTCGACTAAACTTCCCTAAAGTTTGTTTTTCCCATTGCCCCCCCCCCCCCCCAACATCCGAGCCTCCCCTCTTTTTGAACGAGTGTGTAAAAGACTAATTGTGTGTGCATCGTGACATCCGAATGCGGGGAAAGAATTTCCTCTCGGAATGGCCTCCCATCGTTGTCATCATCATCAAGAGAACTGTGAACCAGACTCCGATATTCCCAAGAAACGCCAGATAAGACAAGAACAAAAGTAGAATGAAGTCCGATGCCTGCCAGCCCATGTTTGCCATCTAATAATAGAGCCAGGAATCTCAAACACGCCGGGACCCAAAGCAAGTAAGAAGAAACCAGAAAGAACAAAGCTGTTGAGAAGAGTGAGTGTGATGAAAAGAGAAAAAAATCAGGCGAACCTCCGCATTCGTCAAGCCACTCGGTCGTATTCCATCCGTACGTTTTTGACAGTCATGTCATTCGATTGCGCGTCCATATCTTGAGCATCCGATCTTTTTCTTCTTTTTCCTCGAAAACGAGTGAGATGTTCTTCGCGGCCCCTGTTTTTGCGTTTCTCTTGCCGCTCGCTCAATTACCCATTATCCGACCCCTCTCTCTCAAGGCAGCTTTCCCACTCTTTAGAGGGTGTAAGTCTGCATATCCTGAAACATGAACATGTTGTCCGCGAATTCCATCGCGCCTGGGTGTGACGACATGCCCATGTGGGCGGCGGCCGTCGGATCGTAAGCCATTGCCGGCGCGGCTGGGTGTCGCGGCATGTGTTGATGTTGCTGTTGTTGCGCCGACCTCGCTTGCGCTCCCCGAATCTTGAGGAACTCGGCGTGGAGGGCAGAGTAGGCTTGGCTAAGGGAGTCGTTCTTCTGCTTCTGGTCTGAGAGCATGACCTCGAGATCCTTTATGCGCTGATCTTTGCGCTCGCGGTATGCTCTTTGTGAGGCTCTGTTTTGTGCTCGACGACGCTGTTGAAGATTTGGGTTAATCCACTGCTACAATTGAGTTGACGTCAGGTCTGGAAACCTACTGAGAGCACCGAAGGGGGCGCATTCTTGTAACGATTTTCACGCTTTCTCTTGGCTGGGCCCTTGGTTGTTCCAGCTTTCTCATCCATGGTAGGCTGAGGTGATGCTGTATCGCGGGAGGAGCTCATTGGGCTAGGATAAATGCCTTGGTCGGTGCCATTGAAGTCGTTTACAAAGGTCATGTCAAACTACGACACGCATTGGTCAATTTGAAATCTTTCTCTTTGCGAATGAGGCGCCAACTCACGGTTGAGATAATGGGGCTCGTTGACTCAGATGAGCTGGCAGTGTCCAAGTACTGCTCTGTTTCGTCATAGACGTACGGTGCTTCCATATCCAAGAATGCATCCATGTCGTCGTACATGTTGAGTGGCAGTGAGTGGTCCATGTGTAATGATTGGGTGGCAGTGGGGCGAGGCATGGAAAAGTTATATGGTGTATGAGATGGAAAACGGGTCGATTAGATGTTGTCTCGTGGTTCAAGGGCTGTGAAGTCTGGGCGAACAGTGGGATGATATATACGAGGAGGTGAATGGGCAACGCGTCGTCTAGAAAGGTGTGTCTGGAAGGTGATGTGTAATGCGAACTAAGCTACACCATGATGCTTTGCAACCGGGCTGGGAGGAAATATATATGGCGCGACGCATGGGATAAGAGACGCAGCAGACAAAGCTAGGCTCCGGACAGGGTGCCGGTATGTCAAGACTCGGGGAAACTAGTTAGTAGAGCAGAGGCTACATGCACATGTGTGAAAGCAGTATCCTCTGGTTCGTAAATACGTAGGTAAGCAACATTTTGACAGACATTGCCAGGACCACAACGTACATACCGGCAACGCAACAATCCAATGGGGCACAGGGTCGTCGATTGGGCCCCAGATAGCGCACCAGCTCGTGGGCTGCTTAGACGCATAGCAGTCCCTCTCGCACCCTCCTTGTTCCTGGTCCCTGGTGTGGTGCTCTGGGTAGCGTGATGGAGAAGCCAAGAGCGAAAGAAGAATCGCCGCCGCCTCCATTCTGGGCCTGGTCGAAGAGCTTGAACCGGGTGGAGGGGTGGTGATGGTGCGGGCAGGGATGGGTATGGAGACCGCCGCTGTCTTTTTTGCATTTGCCAAGGACCCGCTTCGAACGGGCTGCGATGTTGCAAGGGGTCCCAGCAAGACGGAACCAGATTTGAACGGGTTGACGGGTTAGGACGGGAGACGGTGCGCAAAGACGGAGGTGAGGGGTCGAGTAAGCCGACGCGGTGCCGTTTAGCTTTGGCCCTGCCGCCGTTGCATGATGCTGAGCCTTCTCGACCACGACGTCGTGTGTAGGCCAGTTGGGATAGCTCTGCGTCTTCAGGTTCTTATTCTGACGAGTCGAAAATTCAGACGACAGGTTTACGAAAGCATCGCCGCAGCCAGATCTAGCCTCTTCGTCTGGTCTGCTAGATTCTTCATGATCCTAGCCTCAGTGAGAAGAATTTAGAAAACCTGGAAAGGCAAACGTCCGTGTTCTCGCCTCTTCGGTCTCCTCTTCGGTGAAGACGACGCCAAAGTTATCTTAGACTCGCTTCTTCGCTGCCAAAAAGTCATGCTCGCTGCGAGTCAATAGCAACATTGCATTGCCAACGGTTTTGAGAATCTTTTCCGCAAGCCCATCCATGGCTTACTGAGTTGGCCAATCCGTCCGGCATGTAGAAGGTGTTAGTGACCGGCGCTGGAACCACGAAAGCAATCTCTGCATTCGTCGACGTCGCCCAAGACCGAGAAGGCATGGGAGGGGTGTGGCAAGTCGGTGGGCTGCTGCCGAGCGTAGGAATCGCAATCCCGCCTTTTGGGATTCGTTTCCCAGCAGCAAAGCTTTATTCTGGATAGACTTCTCGTTGTAAAGGGCGGAGCCCAATTTGGAACTGAGCTGTGGGGGGGCCAGCACAGTAAGGGTGTATGCATAACGCGGCAGCAGCTTGGTGCATGCCGTTCTGTCGCCGTTCTCCGGGGGATCTCGAAGATGAGATGCCCAGTGCGTCAAATACCCTTATTGGATCGCCTGCCGGGGCGAAGAACAGGACGACATACTCCGAGATTGGATGGGGCGTTGTTATGTCTGGTTGATGACATGTAAAGTTGCTGGACGGTGGTGGCTGTTACACGCTTCGGCTTGCCCTGTTGCCCATGCCAAAAGTCCTTCTGGGCGTTCGTATCAGTCACAGCCGGCGCAGACTCGGGGCTGCGGTCTCTTGTCGGCTTCTAGCGAGAAGAAGTGTCCAAGCAATATGACGAAGGTGATGACTACGTTGCACAGGCTTCGCATGCTTCCGAATCCCACGAACTTGGGTAAGAGTTGCCAATGCTACTCAACCCCAAAAGAAGCTGTCTGCGTTTGCTGTTCTTTCCGTACGCATTTCGTTACGAACCGCACCTACAATTAATGGTATGCAGGATGGTGGCACATTCACCGCGTGAGTGCAGCTTTGGCAGGGGGTCGTTGCCTTGCCAGGCTGGCCCGGTCCCAGGGCCCAAAGCTAAGGTACTCCGCAGTGCCAACAATAGAAGTCTCCTCGAGTCTTGCTTGCGAAGAAATGGGCACCTTACGTCAAACCTGCTGTGACGGGACTGTCAGCTGTCAATGGTGGTTGGACGTCTTCTGGATAGACTTTAACTCGGTCGTCGGCCGGAGCTAGGGCGAGGCAACTAGAAATCCTACACTAGGACACAAGAGAGATGCTGGTGGGATCCTATACGCACTTCCCAACTTAATTTCCGCCAGAATGGCCAATCCCTCCCGTCGCTCTTTTGATCTTGATAGACGGCATAGTTTACCGATATGTATCGAGGAACCTTGCGACAGTGTTGTGATGCTGTGCTTCGGTCTACAGCGCATTCAGCTAGTCGGGACGGGGAGTGGTGTGGAACAACATGCGAGAAAAAGAGAGAAAGAGGGGGGAGAAGTAACATGGGATTTGTCGTCTGCTCCAATTTCCCCCAAATCTTGTGAGAGTGGACTCTCAATCCGGGGTGGGACATCGCGGACAAGTATCCGATGAGAGGTGGTGTTGGTCTAGGCCGTGGGGTCAATTCTGCAACATTGGCATAGTGGAACACTTGGGAACTTTGTGTCTTTTCATCCGTCCATGTCTAGTGAAATTCGCAAGGGCCGACGGTCGAATACCTTGTTGCTCCTTGCTCTTGCAGCATCCGTATATTGCACGGATCTTCATCTGATAAGCGGTGGCCCTGCCAGTCTGTCTGATGTCTTTCGCCCCCACCACAGCCACAACTCAACCATTCGAGGCTTGGATATCTTATATCGTATCGTGTAAGCGATTAACCTCAGTGAAAAGAAGGGAAACGATGCCTTATTCCTTGATGGACTCATTGACCAAATTGTGAGGAAAGTTTGATACTGAAATGAGTAAAGAGCGTGTCCATTGGCGTTCGACGGGACAACATGAGTGTGATGTGACCTGTAGTGGAATTCCGTTGCACTAGCGGGCGTTGTTCTCTCATTGCAACGTTTTGCCGGTTTTCCTTACCAAGACAACTGCTGTTGATCTAATGCGCCGTTTCAAACTGCTCATCACCGTTATCGTAACCTCGCTGTTTTTTTTTTTTTTTTTTTTTTGCGAGTCGAAAAGAGGAGGCTTGAGTAAGTTGGCAAACGCCGCGTCCATATTTTTGCTGTAACATGATCCGATCCGCCGCTTCTCGCAAGCCATGAGGTGACCTCGTGGTGTCGACCTCATGGTTGCCACCTCCAAATAACCTTAAGGTGAGGCGGCCGAAGATCAGCATTCCTCTTCCTCCCCGGATCCGAATCCTATCGTTCGCAGCCCGTGCTCCCGGGTGGAACTCCACACCGGAACTCCCAAAACGGTCTCTTACACTTCGCCTTTGGTTGAAGTCCGCTTCCCAACCGGAAATAGCAGGCCATTGTGACAATTATGGCAACGGAAGGATGCCAATAGTTTGCCGCTCGTTGCATGATTTCTGCGAGATTTGAAGGGTAAGTTTCGCCACGGGCCGGTCGCTATTCTCGAGATCAGGCAGCCATATATTGTCCCTGTTGTAGTCTTCTCGACCCCATTCTCCGCTCCCGAGTTCAGCGGAAGGGCGGGGTTCTGATGCATGGCTGTATTATTCTTGGTGTATTTTCGAACCCCAGTCTTCCACAACTGTACGAACATGCCAATCACAGGCCCAGCTTTGTTTTGTCATGCTGCAGCCGTTAGCGTTACCCGCGTCCCCATTTCCCGTGGAACCATACTTACGGGGATTCAGGCGTTGTCAGGGCGTTCGAAGGGTACTAGCCCCCATAATGCGAAGGAAGCTGGCTTGAGAACCGGTGGTCTCTGTTGCCTCTACGGCGGGCCATGGATCGCGAGTATTGGTGAGTGACGACAGTCGTAGACTGGTTCATCTGGCCTCGACTAAGGATAGAGTAATCCTTGCCCGGGAAGATGAGACTCAATCCGTAGAGCTGGCTTGATGACGGACGGATGAGGTTAGAGCTCGGCCGAGTCAAGTCTATTTTAAAAGCTGTCGACCCACCTTGGCGACAGCAGGTGAGTTACGAATACCTAGCTGAGCCAAAATTCACGAACGTAGGCCTTGGTATACAATCCCCGTAGCGCTCTGCTACAGGCCCCGGGCGAGAAGCAGAACAAAATTGTCGAATGAGATACCAAGGCCTCGTCCGTCCATGTATCCATGGAGGTGTCTTTCAACTCGGCGTTCGCCCGCAACCTATAAGTTGGTGTTTCTAATGCGACGGGGTAAATACTAGCAGAGCGGAATTCCGTGAGAAATTTCGGGTCCAATCTCCGTCGACTCTTTGATAGGTAGGTGTAGGCGCGCTATCGGCTGTAGCAAAAGATATTTCTCTGGCAAAATCAAAGGCCAGTTCCCTTCGTTGCTATTCTGCTAATCAAGTGTGATTACTTGCCCAGTCAAGAGCTGGACAAGGTGGTGCCATGCACTGTTGTCACAAAGGGAAGCACTCAGTTGACTTGATGAAAATTGTTCTGTCCTTGAGATTCGTGGAGCATGAGAGACAGACTCATCTTCATGTCCAAGTACATGAGCCTTCGCTCTTCATGGCGTGCATGAGCCACGTGCCACGACAGGCCAGGGAAGGAGGGCAAGAGAAAAAAAAAAGCGCTTGAGATATGGCGGGATGGATTTCATCCACAAAGATAAGGGCTGCTTCTTGAAGATCGCGGTTGAGTGGATGCCGGCATGATGTCCCGAAATGCCGCAAGCTGCAAAGGGCTGTCACACTTTGTGCCGGCGGCCATATGACCGTTGGAATGTGCCTGCCCTGGAAAGCGAGGACCATGAGATGACGGAGAAACTCGCAAACTTCTGCAAGGCTCTGTCCTTGAGGCCATGGTTTGTTATTAGCGACCATATGTTGTTTGTTGTATCTGAAGGTCAATACTGGAAGTCGCAATGGCTACTACAGCTGGCTACAACAGCAGAATTGTACGTGGAAATCGCTTCTCGAAAGCGAATAGGTAGACATATGCTGTCTTCAGATTGTCCTACGACATCAGGCGCCTGCGGAGTATACGGAACGGTCGAACGCGCCCCTTACACTGCCAAGATTTTGGACACCGATGAGAAATGCGAATGGTCTTCAGTGCTCAAGTTCAGAAGGTGCGGTGCTCTTCCAAACCCCAGGAATCCAACGCGACACCAAAAAGTTGACACGATGTGGTATTCCCGCATAATTGCTGCATGATATGGCAACGCGAACAACGGTGGCGTAACGAGCACCGTTTTGCCTCAAGACTTTGAAGTTTGGCGATTTGTCTCGGGGTCTGCGGGGGCGTGCCACATGGTAGTTTCCCACTATAGATTAGGCAGAAGGAATCTTTGCAAGTTGGTGTCAGATTCCACTCTGCGGCGTCCAGGCTGTTCAACTGATGGTAGGTGGCTGGCAGCGTTTTCTTCGTCCACGAAGACCGTCTCTCTCCAACTCATCCCAACTATTTTCCGAAAAGGGTAATTTTTGTCTGCCCCAGCACTGGAGTTGCTGGGATGAGCCTGCAGGGGGCCTCTGGACCCATCAAGCTGCACCCGCCTTTACGCTAAGCCGTTGCCATTCGCCCCTTTGATTGGTGAGAGCACATTTTGGCCCCATGCGAGTTTCTGGGCACCTATGGTCCCAATTTCGACGATGAGTTCCCTCGAACCATCAGAATCATGGCCTTGGGCTTCGGGAGTGTTTAGGGGTTCATAGCAGTCCTGTGTTTGATCAAAGCGTCGCCTTACACCATAAGAGAGACCGGCTGAGAGACTGTGAGAGACTGTGGCGGCTTCGTTTCTTGGGCCTCGCATAGCTCTTCGATACGGAACAAGTACTCATTCAACGGCTCGGCTCAAATTCGGTTGTATGCACTTTCGTTGCTACTGGTGTAATGGGACTGCTGGTACTGAATCGAGCTTAAGGGGGTCCGTTTCTGGCTTCCAAGCAACTCGATTCGTTTGCCATCTTTCTAGATGGGCGGTGGCTCTAACAATTATGACAGTCGGGACTTCCTGCACCGGATGCAATGATGCTGCTGAATCCGACCTAGTCGAGGCCCCTGGCTACCGTCGTGGTATTTCTCCGTCCTCATATGCGCCCCAGTCAAGAATCCATTGATACGGCGCAGGAAGGCATAAAGACCCCATCATCTACCTATTTTCGGTTCACATATGCGGACCCATGCTAATCGATTTGAAAAAGGTCCATGTCGAAGGAAGGATGCTGCAGAAGCGGCTTCATGTCTCTGTTGGCCAAGTCCTAGCCCTATGCAGGGTCTTTGCGGGCGCGAGGGGACCATCACTCTCGTCTTTTTGATATGTTCATATGCTCGCCGACATGGGATCCTGATGCTCCCGGTTTGCCCCGGCAATACCTCAAGCGAGGCGAGGAACACATTCCCGGGGTGGTCCAGCAGTCTGTATGGCCGTATCTCTATAATCCTAGAGTTTTTGAAGTCCCGCTTCGGCCTGAGAGATGCCGGGACCGAAGCCAATCTTCCTGCTCATGTCGATTGCCTGCTGGAAACGCTTTCTTGCGTCCTCCTTCTTTCCCAGTAGGGCAGCGATGTCACCCATGTTTGTTAATGCTACGGCGCAAGCTTCGTCACACTCTTCGGTTCGGTCCTCTCCCTTGACATCCTTTGAGTGTGAGTAAGCATTGCTAGCCCAGTTCTTCGCAGCTTCCAAGAGTCCGGCTCGGTCTGTTGGCATGTCGGGACTGACTATTGCGTCGGAAGTGGCAGGCGCGTTGGGAATGGCGTCCAGCGGGGTCTGAAGAGGGTGCTGGGCAAATGCTGCAGCCAGATTGTTCACTGGAGAGTGTGTCAGTTTGATTTTTGAAATATACTCTGACTCAAGTCCAGGGGCCTGAGGACATACTGATAGTTACTCGATGACAAGGGCTAGCACAAAGTCGTAATGCTTGGAACAAGAGAGGTACTGCCAGATGGAACTGGGATTTAGTCTCGTAGTGTTGGGCGAGGGCTATTAACTCTGTCAGTAACCTGAAAGTGGGCACGATATAGGGGGCTTCATGGGAGACCAACACTCCATGGCACCGCCAATTTCTTCTGGGCTCATCCAAGAACCTTCATCCTTCTTGACACCTTCCTTGTGGCGTCGTTTTGACTCTGCCAGTGCCGTTTCGACGGCCCACGTTAGTCGGGCCAGGGAGTTTTCTGGCTCCAAAACATGCTCGTCCGAGTAAAGGGCACCAAGCTTAGTGCTAGTTCCGACGGCTTTGGCCAGAAGGCGGGTGCGCTTATGCCACAGGTTTTCGATAACCTTCTCCTCGCCATTCTCCGGAACTGCGAGTCGTTGATTTTCCAACAGAGGCTTCGCGGCAGGCGGCTTTCCTGACTTTTCTACTGTTCCATCTGCAACGGAATTCTCCATCCATTCCACCCACTTGAGGCAGTCTCTGAGCACAGAATCCAACACAGTAATGGCTCCTTGGTAGTTGCCGATCTTTTCGAGCCATGCCGCGGTCTGGATCCTAATGCCCAAAACATCATCTGAGAACGGGTCTAGCTGGAGTTCATTGCATTGTTCCAGTGCTTGTTTGTAGTATTTCCTCGCGAGATTCGGATCGGGGCTGATGTTTGTGTAGTAGAGGGCTCGGCGGAGGGATTTGGCGATGGGCTTGGGATACTTGGTGAACTGACGGGCCATGAAGTAGTCGAAGTACAACTTGACGATGTAGATGGAAACACCTGCCAAGCCAGCAAGACTGAGAACTTCGGGTCAGCTATTTATCCTAGAAAACAGCGACGGCTCGAGATAGCTCACATTGCTAGTGCTAGCACGAGCTCCTCTGGACTTTCTCTAAACATCCTCTTGATGCCCCTTGGCGTCAGGGAAGTTAACAGCGAGCGAAAGGATATCGCTCTCAAAAGCTGACTTGCGGAAGGTGGTGGCGGTGGCGGCGGCGGCGGCGGAGAAGAGGCATTGTTCCTTTTAGAGCCATTATAAGAAGGATTTGAAGTGCTCTGGTGTCTCAATTGAGTATGGCTGCACACGTTTGAAGCATTCCGAGGTGTGCTTGCTCGTAAAGCTGCTGTGGACGTTACGGGCGACCTTGCGATCTGGCGAAGCCCCAGGCCATTGATTGCCCGACATGCCGCAATGCGCGACACGGCCATCGTTGTCATCAATTGAGAAGCAGGCACAGTATCGATTCTCGGGGCTCGGTCAAGCTGTGCGGTATGGGCCAAGCTCGTGCGACGGAGCGTGGTGGTTGACTGTAATCGGGCGGCTGTCAAGTGACGTATCAATCAAAAATCAATGAGAGTTTCGCCTGCATTGTTCGGCAGGTCTGGAGCTCTTGCTCTGGTGGGTCTATACTAATCAATGCGCGACCAATCACACGAAGGCAGTTACTCCGAGGCTCAGCCAGCAATGTCGCAAGTGCCCCCCCACCTTGACCGTGGGGAAGAGCTCCAGGCTCAGAGGGGCAAATACCGAGCTTCTTTCTCCCCGCCATCATCTATTTTGTGTGTAAGAAGTCGACGTCTTCCTAATCCTCGCACTCCATATCCATCCAACATCACATCGCTAGCTCAATAACTTCAAGCTTTACAACAGCTTATAGCCAAGCAAAGGCCAGCAAAATGTCTGGAAAGTTTGAGCCCAAGAACCCCGTCACCCTGGCCCCTCCCAAGGATGACCCCATCACCCTCGAGGAGTTGGCCAAGGCCGATGGTAAGTCGAAGTGTTCTTGCCTTTACTTATCCGCTACGAAACTGTCCGGCAGCATGTTTTTGATGCAATGATCATGAGGGGTTGTGTCAGTTGTTGAAGAGAGCGGGGCTTAAGATCGTGCTCAAGTATCTTTTCCAATCTGCAGTTCATGAACACATGTTCGTGGACCTGGAAACGGCTGCGGCTCAGTCACCTCTCTCATCAAGTGGTCTCGAAGATGCCTATATATGCTTGGCCTCGCATGCAACTGTTTTATCATCGTATAGACCCCACGCCAATAATTCTAACAATATAACAGGCTCAGACCCCAATGGAAAGACATACGTGGCGATCAAGGTAATCAAACACGCCGGCCTTCATTTTCTACGCAAATTTAATGTTTTATGATCCAGGGAATCGTATACGACGTAACAGGTAACAAGGCATACCAAGCAGGAGGATCCTACAACGGTAAGGAAAACGTTCATCTCATTTTGCAGTCTATCATGACTGACAACCCTTGAGTTTTTGCTGGAAAGGACGCCTCTCGTGCTCTCGGAAAGACCTCAACAAAGGCTGAGGACGTCAGCGCCGACTGGCAGGATCTTCCTGACAAGGAGAAGGGTGTCCTTAACGACTGGATCACCTTCTTCTCTAAGCGCTACAACGTTGTTGGCCGCGTCGCTGGCGCTACCAACTTTGAATGAAGATTACCAAAAGCTCGGCTCTGAAGCTCGAGCGAAGGGTGAAGGAGGTTGTGGGAGAAGCGGGAGGCTAGGGATATCCGTCATTTGGCCGTGAGACGTTACCATGAGCGTGTGTAAACGTAAAAATTAAACTGAATACCTTGCGTCAATAATCCCACGCCGAGAAGTGAGTGAGAGAATATCTCAGGTGACCCTATTTACTCTCATGTTATGTAGACCCAGACATTCGTTGATCTCTAAGTCGTCTACAGCTGAAAATGTGTTTCCTCGCTACCATGAATGATATCGAGACTCCATCGCACATTACAAGGCTCCGATGTAAAGCTGCCTTATACTCAAGGAAGTGTGCGATAAAATTTCCCAATCCATCCATACACAAGTGTTAGAATGTGTACTGCATACGTCGTTCATATGCGATGCCACTGTTCTTGCACGACGTCGCGACACAGTCCCGGGCGTAAGTAGTTACCCCTACATCGACGATCGGTGAAATGACGCCCAATCGCTCACGACAAGTATCTACTTCGACTAAAGAAACAGCCATATCTCGGGCACCAGTTTATATTGAATACGAAAACCATGTGGCTGAGCAGAGATTTCTAAATCATTAAGTCGTTGAACAAATGACAAATGACGTGTCCTAGAGTCACTGCAGGCTCCCAGCCATTAACATCGCCTTGCGTTTCAGCTCTTCATCCCTTTTCCTTCGACTTGCCCTGCAGAAAACTGATCGCGTTAACAGCGTCACAAATCCCGTTTCATAGGGGCAGCTCAATCTCTGGAGTCCCTTTGTACGACATACCTTGCAGAAGTACTTGTTCATCGTGCTTACGCACTTAGCTTAAGCCCGACATCGTATGGTTGGCACCTTGAGATCCGGTTGTTCCAAAGTAATTCATGCTGAATGAAATGCTTCTTTATGACATGGAGTATGCTTCTGCTATCTCTGATGAGACCTAGAACGGACGGCGCTAGTCTTGGGACTCGGTGAAATTGTTTAGGAGATGTCGAAGTACGGGACTCTACACTCGAGTGTACAACCTTTGACAACTGGTTTAGCTCTGTCTGGCTGAAGAATAGTCAGTAGCGGAATTTGGGGAAGTTTCGCCATGAAGTACGAATCTTGATGGGCCTGAGGCTTCAGCGAAGCGTGTAAATGGGCAGCCTCAATCACAGATGAATGTCCTCTTCGTTTCAGGGTTCAGTTTAATGCCCTAAATACTGTCCAGTATTCTACCTACTCTTGAAAAGTGTGTAACGAATGCTTGCAGAACCGTGTCGGAGTGAGCCTTGGTACTTTACTCCAGGCACTCCGGAATCAACAAATCCCAGAAACATCAGACCGATGTCAGTCCTCACGTCACTCCTCGTCAAAGTAATAACATGCATAAGCCCGCGTAAAATTTGGGTCGTTCCTACAGAAATCTAGACCATGTAACACAACTTCCCAGGCTGCTCATCATCCTCCTAGAACAGGGAAACACTGTCATCCAACCCACTTCATTGTAATAAATGAGAAAGAGGACAATTACACTGAGTGTGACCACCATATACTTTTCGTTCTACCATCCCCCACAAATCAAGTAACGCTAACATTCTGTGTGGGACAGAAACTCTTGCGATCTCTAGCTATTGAAACATCTTCGAAAATCACAGTTGCTGTATAGACAATCTGGCGTACACTTGAAGCCCCTATCTCTACGGTATTCGCACCTGGCCCAATGATAATCCATGCCACTCTCCCCCTGACGCGCAAGGGTGCTCTCAAAAAAAGGCTTGAAAGCGACTGGACTGAATTAATGGGGAGGTTGTTGCTGGCCGCCAATAAACTCCTGCTGACGATGCTGCCCGGAGCCGAAATGCGGGTGACCCTGACCCTGCCAGGCCAAGATGCAGTTATCGCACGGGACGCTCTGCTGCCACGAGTTGCGAAGAACCTTGACGCCGAAGCATTGGTGGCCGGGATCGTTGCGGGCAAAGTGGCAGTACGACTTGAGTCGTAGAACGGAGTGGTTGCAGGTGAAGAGGAACTCCTCCCAGTCGCACATCTTGAGATGGGGGGTTTTCGGTGGGGGAGTACTTCGTGCTCTTTGTAATCTGATTAAGCTTATAACAGCAGCTACGACTCTGAGTCAGCTCGTTGAAAATATTATGCTTACAAGAGAACGTTTATATACGTACAGTCTGGCCGTCCAGATCCGTTTCAAGGGATGTCCTACAACTGAGACTATCCGAAAAAAGCGTGGTTTTGCGAGAGCCGTGAAAGCTAAGAAGTGCTGCTCAAGGAGTTGTGATCTGAACGAAGTAGACGATGTGAGTAGAGGTGAATATGAGGAGGATCTCTGTGGTTATTCTCTGGCGAGTTCGCTCGATCTTATATACATCACATCCCCGAGCTTCAAAGTATCGGCCGCAACAATATCTGTCATATTTATCTAAGAGTCGATTTGCACATGGACGCAAAGGGCCTTGCCGAAGGACGTTGAGAAGCCTGGGTACATGGCACACTGTGCGTGTGTTGCTGCCATATTGGTGGCATGCCATGTCAAGATACCTGCTCGTGAGGATGACCAGGTTTAACGTGGAGTGGTGGGGGCGAGATCACCCATTATTTACTCCTTGCGAGCTCCAAAAGCTACCTAGCCTTTGGCCATAGAGGTGATGGATCATGCAGGCCGGAAGAGAAGACTGCATCCGTTGGCCGGGTAGATGAAGAGAATGCAGGAACTACTTCGTTTCCCGGCACGAGGCGCTTCGAAGCCTGCCTCGGGCCTTGAGGCATAGAATGAAGTCACCAGTGAGCCAGATATACTGATGAAACGCCAGGATGTTCCTTCCACGTACACGTTGCAAAATAGATTAAAGTTGAAACATCTTGAGTTGACATCATAGCTCTGCAGCAGACGTTCATCAACATGTCTTTAATAGCATCGATCTCACGACGTTGAGCCGCCCTCCGGGACATTACTGGGCCGTCCCGTCTAAACGCAGCGCTGTTCAGTATATCGGCAGATGTTTGCTATTCTCAACCGGGCAGCCACCGCCGTTGCTATTACCTTGTCAGTTGTGGATGATCTACACTCTTGTTCTGTTCCTCCCATCATCGCATCAAGTTCGTCTCGCAACTGGAAGCAGTGTGTGTGACATTATCAACGTCAAGAATTTGTCGGCCGAGAGGGTGGCACCTGTGCCACCCAATCAGTCTAGACCGTCAGGTTGGGATCCAAGTCGCTTGCATCTTGCGGAGCGGCCCGATAGGCGGGTTTAAGTAAGCTGAGAGGGACATTCGCTCCTTGGCAAAGAGCAAACATCGAATATCCGTCTGCGAAACGGGCGAGCCACCAGGCGAATCCGAAGATACGGCCGAATGATCCCCTTAAAGTAAAATCTATGGATGCCATGATCCTGGAGACGTAAGAACACAATGGAGCCGCGCGGCGCAAAAGCGAAGGCTCATGTGGTGGGGAGTAAATGTCGTGTCCAACATGTTGCACTCGTGATACTGTGCAACAAGGGACAATGCCCCGCTCAGTTGAGCGTTTTGTAATCGCATACATATGTAGCCATCCACGACTACTGATCTTCAAGTGAACGGTAGGTCATCGGAAATAAGTAGCAAGCTCCGAAAGACTCCGTACGCAGCGAAGGTCTGTACTATCGGAGAGCGACATAAATAATGACATATCATATCTTTTCCGAAGCACACTCTCGTTTCCTGTCATGCTTATCCAACCTGGGTCTTGCTCCCCCACAAA